GCTGAGGGAGGAATGTATTCTTTTCTTGACTCTTGGTAAATTATGGTTCACAAAACTTTGTCCTTGGGAATAATATTTAATGCATTTATTTTTAAAGGCGTATTTCCTGGCTTACTTTAATAAAGCGAGTAAGACACTAGGTTTAGCAAGTATTTATTTAGATAACATAGATAGTCTGAGATGCTTTTTATGTCAATATTTAGATAGCATTTCAAAACTAGAAGTAGAATTAAGGATCTTTTATTTAGATTAAACAAATTGTGATTAATTTAGTATCCCCGAAGATGACCATAATGCCAAAAGAAAAGATAAACAGATTTAAAAAAAAAAAGAAACAGTTATGGATTCTGTCAAATTGACCTTGAGTTCACTGGTTTTAAATTTTCCTTTTCCAATATCCCCGTTCCAATTTGCAAGCAGCGTTTTTAAGCTGGTTATGCAGATCAGTTGTTAGGGAAGAAAAAGTAGCCATTTATCTGGCCTATATTCTGTAGAAACTGTTGCCACTAAAAAGAATCCAGGACATTTTTCCTTCTTATCTGGAATGTAGCTCATATCAGCCAACCTGTCACAAGATAGTACTTGATATAAACAAGAGATTGCTAAGACATCTCAGCAATCAATATCAGGATAGCTACAGTATGGAAACCCCAAGCAGTGCATATCATTTGTCTCCGTATCTATTTCTATGGCCAAATGAAGCATTAATTCAAATCATAAATCTATGGTGATTTAAATCTGGGAATGAGCACCTGCCTGCTTTAATGATTTATTTTGTACATTTCAGTAAGCAGGAGATTTGTCCATATGAACTGACAGGTCACCTTCAGATGCCAGGAGCAGACTGTTTATCACCATGCAGACTAGCATCTCATCTTAGCAAGTAAATATTAAACTAAAAGAATCCAATTGATTGTGGATGAGAGAGAACGGTGATGTGGCTATATATTTTTCTCAACAAGCTGATGCCCCACTCGGATCTATCCTGAGCTCCTCAACCGTTACTACAGTCATCAACCTCTGGCAAAGATGTAGATTCAAGGTTATCATCTCAAATTGGAATGCAAAGTAATTATTTGTCAACAACAAGGATTTCTAAACCGTGTGGGTTTTTTTTTCCTAGCTAATTTTTAAAACTCATTATGGATCAGTGAAACCCATCCTTCACAAGAATATCTATCCACCTCATCAAGCCAAATCCAATCAAATCAAGCAGAAACGAAATCTCTTTTCTTGAGCCCCAGGGATTTGTTGATAACTAGGGAATTGAAAACATGCACCTGTATAGGAAAGTCTAAAGTGTATGGCTAACCATGTGAGGCTAGTGAACACAAGTCATATAAAACTAGAATTGTCACTGGGTGTGGGCAAGTCTAAATAGTAACAATACATCAAGAGCAAACAGAACCTCTGTGGAAGGTGTTATTCCTGCAAAGAGCTAACTTGTAGGCAGATTCACAAAAGCATTGCGTTTGATTCTGAGTCATGGGTTTGAGGGTCATAGGATGCCTTATAGATATAAACTCTTCAATTCCTCTTCCTAGCCACTTCACAATGACTGTTACTGATACTCTTGATACTGCCAAAGCACAACACATGCCCACCTGCTGCTGTAGGCCAGTCTTTCCCATTAACACTTCTGTGGTCCTTGCATACTGGGCGTATAATAGATCACTTTGGTATTTTTACAATGAACTGAACTTACAAGTTTAATGGAGGACAATGTAAGATGTTTCCAAGTTTTTTCTTAGCTCTATAGCTGCCGAAGTAACATGTACCCAAGACTGGAAGAATGCAACGGGGGAAGCTCCTGCTGATGGCAGTATAAATGGGAAGAAGGTGACTTTTAGGAAGGCAATTTTACGAAACTGTATTAGGAATAGTAACACCAAACTTCAAGTAAACCATGTGAGGAGCACACATAATGAATGACATACTAGTCACCAGGCACACATAGTTCAATTATCACGCTGTGTCATTCCCCAGTTGCCTTGAACGGTTAAGCTCAGAAAGTCTACGTAACTTTTCAAAGTCATAATCAAATTGTTATTGAGCACTTAAAAGAAGCAGGAATTGTCTTCAGAGAAGCCTGGAGCCACAAAAACTGCTCAGTTCAGCAACTGCTTTGATCTATGCACAGTTTGCTCTGACCTTCAAGGAGTTCCTTTCTCCTTTACAGCCACTCGCCTCCGACACACACTCACTTTTTATACTTTCCAAATAAATGTCCAAGAGTCGAGGTTTCTATGAAAAACAGTAGGAATTTCGAACTCAAAGACAATTGCAGCACGTTAAGAATGGAATGAAAATAGCACCAGAAAAACTCCCCAAGTGAGCTGGAGAGACCCAAAATATAAATGATGTGTGTCCCTTTGAGTCTATCATTCCACTGCGGCAAACAGGTCTTAGTATTACAGTCTTCTAAGAAGACACAAGTAAGTGTTTCTCTTGGTTCAAATGGATATAAGATGTCTCACACTATGTTATAACACCATAGCAAGCTATCAACTAATAGAATATGTTATTTTCACAACTAAAATATAATGGGATATTTAAATTGTTTTTATTTTAAGACATGATAATAGCCTAAGTACCTATATAATTAAAGGGAGTTGTAATTTGGTCACTATGTAAACATTATTGCATACTAAAAATATGAAATGCAGGTTAATGCTTTGTGAGCCACTTGCTTCTTGACTTCTGCCTGTTGGTTTCTGAAAAACTGCTGCTCAGCTGCTCAGAGAAATTAAGAGATGGTTTGTTTTGAAAAGATTTCCTTAAAAGGTTATTGTCCCTCTTAACCCCTGGTTCAAGCATCTTTTACCAGGAATGGCCTGCATTGTAAGTTTAGTCTGAAAATTTAAACATAATCAAGGCATCATTTAGAATAGTAACTATAATTTGTAAGTAGATTTTTTTATGGGAAAGGACATGATCACAGTCCAGTACTGTACAGTATTTGCAGTCAAAAGTTTTCCTGATTGCTCTTTGGGCTGACGAGGGAGGGGGACTTGATTGGGGGAGGGGGAGGGAAATGGGAGGCAGTGGCAGGGAAGAGACAGAAATCTTTAATAAATAAATAAATAAATAAATTTAAAAAAAATCCCCCATTTGGGACATTACAGAGGTCAGCCTGTCTGGAGTTCAATGGATTAGCCTTGCCCTGGGACTACCTTCTTTCAAGATCTTGGTATCTCCCTGCCAAGTAATCACTGATAACTTATTTCTCTAAGTGCAGCAAGTTGACCTATTTAGGTAGGCAAAGCAAAGGAGTTATATTTTAAGTCCTTCTACGCTTAGTCCTAAAAAAGAGAGCATCACAATTCTTTCATTTTGCTTCAATATTGCTACAATATTCAATATGTGATGGAAAGTCTAAAATGGCGTCTACCAATCATGAGCTAAGTGGTTTTCTGCTTTCTTGGCCTTGTCCCTAGGCTTCCAAGCAGTGTAAGTGTTGGTATGTGCCTGAACTGCTTTGCTGTAGCATCATCTCTCCAGGTGGTCCCCCATGTTTCCACTGCTCTGAGAAGAGCCACCAACAGCCACTCTCAATTCAGTTGTCCTTATGAGGTCCTGGTGAGAGATTTAGTCTTCCCATTTGAATGTCAGAAGTGGTCCTTTACCTTCAGGGATGAAATGCTATTTTGTGTTTGTTATATATGCTTCAAATCACTTACTACCGTGCTTATGAGGAACTGCAAATGAAATGATAATTCTTACATTTCATAATATTTCATCAAAGCCCTTTAAGTACAAACTAATTGGTGGAAAGCAGAGAGCTATTGATTAGTTTAAAAAACACCATTAATATGCTGCATGAAAAAGAGAAATTGATCAAATTGTGATGAACTTCTGTGTTCACTTCAAGCCTTCTTGGAAAGGATAACAAGCAATTTTCCTTTCTTAAATTGTATTTTGAGCATAAATTCTGTACTTTCAAGGAAAACATTAGTGTATATGAACAGTATTAAATGTTTTGCCACATTAACACCCAGATGAAAGTATTTCATTGATTATAAAATTTAAACCATTTTTAAAGCCAGATTCACAAGTCACGTGCTTAGTCTGTGCAGCTAAAAGGGTTGCATTTGGTTTTATTTTGAGTTAAGAGAAAGGAAGCCAGGTGATCAGGGGAAGTTAATATTGCTCGTTTCAAATGGGAGATGTCTTTGCAATAGTTGTGGACAGAGGGAATGATCAAAAATAATACACATTTCTGGCAACAGAGTAAAGGCTTTAATTGCCCAGCCCCTCATACACACTTTAGCTTTGTGCGGTCTTCATTGCCTGCAGTAAACAGGATTCTGAACTGAGAATTTTAGGCAACCATTTCTAAGTTTTACATAATGCAAACATTGCCTGGCATTAATTACATTATACGACAAAAAGTAAAAGATTTAAGTAACTCTTAGTACATTATATTTTGAAATTGTCATTTTTCTTATTATATATTGTTTATAATCTCTTAAAATGCCCAATCTGCAAAATATTATATGGATGATTATAACAAAGCAGATATGATATCTTTATTTTTCATGCTTTCACGCAAGAAACCTGAAAAGCATCCTGTGTGAATGAGAGAAAGCTAATGCATAAACTCTTCTGTTGATGGTAATTAATTTCTTACTTTATAATGAATGCATTAAAATAATTTTTAGATGTCATGTAGGATTGAATACACACACATATTTCTATCTAATTACCTACACCAAAAATTTATAATTTTTATTCTTAAAACTTACTTGCATTATGAAATATATCAATTCATTATTTATAGCCTACAATTTAGTTGTAGAACTGATCCTATATTAAAAATCATAACTTCCAGCTTCTTAGTTTCTGTATCAGAGAGGAAAAATGAAGAGTTAAAAAGATGACCCTTTGTTGATATTAAAAAACACATTTCATCAGTGGGTATCCAGTAGTTTTATTCTGGAGTAGAAATTAACTCGATGAAAAAGTGAATGTGAATACAGGCAGTGAACATAAAAACTTACCGACACCTGAATTCATATCCCCGTTTTCAGAATCTGCTCCATGTTGGTTGTTACTGGCATGATAGTTGCTCATGGCTTCTAATTTGATTTTTTTCACCTTCATTGCTTCAGCAATAGCTGCATTGGTAGCAGCTGCAGCAGCTGCAGCAGCTGCAGTCAAACCTTTAGAAAAAAAATTAAAAAACAAAGTAATTCAAATTCAAGTTTTTTTTTCTATAATAGGCCATCTCTTTCCATAACACACATACAAACATTGAATATATAATTTTTTATGTTATACTGATAACATATTTCTGTTCCAAACCAGCCCAAGCAACACTAACACAAGCGTACAAATTCTAATCAAACTCTCTGCTTGAGTACTAGGAGAAATGAACTCACATGTTTCACAGGAATGGAAATGTGGAGCAAATAAACTTTTGAAGAGACACAGGCTGAACTTCCCATTCCCTGCTCAACATCCTCTACAGATGGTAGAAAGTCAACACTGCAGATTAATGAAAAGGCTTACTTCCGATGCTCAGTCTCCTCCCTAACTGGAGGTATCCCGCACACTCAATCTCTGATGTATCCATGCCACCCTTTCTCACACACGGCCTGCAGCAACAACCCTCTGCTTTCAAGTGTGGCTCACTTCCATGACTGCCATTCTTCTAGTGAAATTCTACTCATACTTTAACGTCTTAACCCCCATCTTCCCTAGGCTGAGATGATGACAGCTTGCTTCTGGCTGTAAGGACTATGTTTACATTTATGTTATGGTACACACAACACTGTACTGTATGTGTCCTCCTGTGCATGTCCTTTCCTTGGGAGATGGTCACTTATTCAGTGGCAGAGGCCATTGTCAATGTGCAGCTAAGTAGCTGCAGGATTCAAGATTTTTATGTCTTAATGTAGTGTGATATGCCCTGGCTGGCTGAAATACGTGGGAGACCTGCCTTTTCTGAAGAGAAAGGAGAAGTGGAAGGGAATGTCAGGGGAGAGAGTTTGAGGGGAGGGGCTAGGTGGAGAGGGGTGGGGCGATGGGCGGAGGGGAAAATATGATCAGACTGGGTGAAAACTAATTAATCAATAAAAAATACAGAAAATTACAGCAAATAATTTCATTCCACTTATTAAGCCTTTAAGGACTGATTTCAGTGACTCAAGATTAATCTGATCACCATTATAAAACCATATTATTGATCAATATCATGTTTGCTTTACACATTACGGAATATAGCCCAAGTTCTAAAATGCTGTATTTAAGCCCAGAATGTCCACTGTCCCTGCTTTGTCTTATACACTCTTGTGATTATCTGTATGTCTATATTTAGACATACACATATATTTAGACATACAGATAATAACAGATCAGATATGACATATGGAACAAAAGCCACTGACCTAAAGTGCAGTTCTATAGATAAGAAGAAAAGAAATTCTCAAATGTCAACTTTTACAAAGTTCCCCTTACCATCCAAACCTGGGGTCACCCATCTGAAAAAAAGTTACATGCCATGGGGAAAAAAGAATAATGTCTCCTAATTCTAGAACGTTAGCGGCCTATGCAAGGAGAGTGTGTCTTTCCCTGCATGCATCATCTTTTCACACAGCTGCCTGAGAGAACCTGAGCAATGTGGTCTGGCCTTCTGGATTTATATGTGTGATTTATCCGCACTCCCAGTTGGTAGAGAGAATGAACACCCCTCTTTTTCCTTTTCTTCCCCGCTAATCATTACACCTTGTTACCACAGCAAAAAGCTGCTGCCCATGGAATTACGTGGAGGTCTTGGTAGAAACCTTTGCTATGTAATCGGTGCACAGACGACTTGACCTGCTCACCCGATCAGTGCAGAGAGGCGTTGACCACGTTCACCCAGATGCAATAAGATCTGCAGATCAGATCTTTGCTTGAAAAACTCATAACCACTCCTTAAAAGGCATTGATCTAAATTCAAAGAATCCATCTGCGTTTAGCACAAGCATTTGCTGCCTTTTAAGTCCCAACTTGAACAGACTCTCTCATCTTCCTATGATTGAATTTTCTCCTCAATGACTCATTTCCTTCAAAGATGTTTCAGAGCATTTTCTTTCCTGTTCCCTTTAAATCCTCTTTGTGATTCCCAGAAAAAGGTTTTCCTTGATTTTTTTCGTTGTCACCAACGTGAACATCTTCTTTGTCCTTTCCTCTATTTCCTGGTGTTGACTTGTCAGTAATTTATGTCTTTTCTCAGCCCTATAACTTGGCTTCATGCTACAGGAGGATCTAGTAATTGCATTCAAAATATAAAGAGATGCTATTATATACTAGCCTGCAAATTTTAAATAACAAAAATATAATTTTCAAGATCTTGTCCTAGGAAAGCCAGTTGATATTTTTTTTTTGAAAAGAGATTCTTCTGCTGTAAAACCATTCTGAGCCCAAAGAGGAAATAATAAAAATCAAGTAAGAAAACAAATAAAGAATAGCACATTATGCTCAGTATGGACAATTCTTATTCCTTATTCATCTGCAAGTCAAACCCAAGAGTTAATTTTCAGTGGGAACTTTCTTTACTTAGTCCCTTACTTTAGATCTTTTATATTCATCTTAATATTCACTTATCATAACTACTTCTAGTAAAGTTATTATCTTCTATTTGTTTGAAACTTTTCCCAAGTTTTACAATTCTAATAGAACTCTAAAAGATACATGTGTCAAAATCAACCATGCACATGAATGCATGCATGCTATAATCTGAATAACATGCAATTTGGCATTCTAATTTTACCTAAGTCTTTTTTAATACAGGTAGGAAATTTTGGTATATGCAACAATTCTAGACTTTTGGTTCTACTAAGCCTTCTTGTACTTGATTTTTAATATCTTAAATTCAACCAATTTCCTTCATGTCCACTACTGTCCCAATTGCAAACTTCTATATGTTATTCCTTAAATTCCTGAAATGCTTTTTTTTTTAAATAGTCTTTTACAGGGAAGGGAACACTACTTGGTTATCCAGCATCAAATAATCATTCTCTAAAAAAACACATACAAATAGCATTATACAGACTGAGAAGGCTTTTTTTCAAAAAATATATGTATTTGCCTTTCAAGTATCTGTCAAAACCAGTCATGGAGCTTTCAAACAAAGCACATTACCTACATCATGCCATCTGTAACTCTGACTCAGAAGGTCTGAGGTGGAGACTCTGAGATTATGCACCTGCTTATAGTAATTTTACTACTGCATGCCTCGTCTTTCCATCCTTCTGTGTAGTCTGGGAAGAGCAACACAATACTTTGATGTTTTCCTATTTTATATAAGAGAAGATGATGTGGCTAAAAGAATATTGGAATTAAGGCTACACTGCTAGAAGGTAAAAGAAACACAATATGGATAGATTCTTCATTTACTTACACCAAGTGTTTTTTATTATCATGGTGTTTGGTGTGACCTGTCATTGAATGTAAACGCCATTCACATACAAGATTCCTCGAAGAGACACAAGGTAAATATAGTGGTTATTTTGAAAATGCTAAAAGAAAAGTACAAGAACACTTTATTTTTGTGTTAGATTATATGAGACTACATGAGAGATAACAAATCTTATAATTTAATATAAAACACGAGTGCCCATAGATTCTTTGTGTGTAAAGTCTTAGAGGATCACAAGCCAATTGGCAGTTCATTACATCTATTATAGTTCCATTGGTTTTCAGTGGGTTCTTTCCTTTCAAACCTCCAAGGTAATTCTCAAATCCCTTGAACCTTATTGTCTTATTGTCTCTAGTGAAAGCATAGTGTGAATTTCTTTGTAGCCTCAGATGGAGGTTGTATCATGTATGATGTTCAATAATTAACTTCCTGTGAAAAAGAAAAGTGGAAGATATAAATAATGATCAGAATGCCAAGAATTCAAGCCATGACATGTTTTTATGTAATAAAGACTTATTCTCTGGTGGAAATAGAAGTAACCCTAAATATCTACCTTATTCCTTCACCCCTTCTGTGGCTCTAATTCCACAGACCCTACTTCTGTTCTGCCTCAGACTCATGGCAACTTTAGCTTCCCCTGCTTCTATGACTTACTCCAAAGTGTCTTAGATTTTCACATTGCCACTGCATTTAATTTTTCCCAATCAAAACAACTAATTTTCTTTTCAGAACTAGTCAATTCAATAGCTCCCAGGAAAGGTAGAGGCTGGAAGTTGCAGAAGATTCCTTTAACATATTACAAGAAATATTTTCCATTGTATATAGATGCTTAGTGAGAAATTTACACTAAGATTTACAGTGTTTCTGTTTTATAATGCATTGTTACTAACTGTGTGGAATGTCATTGCAATGATTTCTATGAGGGAGTTTTTAAAAAATCATCACAGAAATATATGCTTAAATTATCTATGAATAAAAGGAGAGGGAACAGGCAAACTATCCAAACAAAAATAATCAATAAAGGTAGGCAGATGACTTAAGACGGACAAATGAATGAATGAACAAATGACCTCTTACAGTAAGGCATAATTAGCTCTTGATTTATAAATGAATGAATGACCTCTTACAGTAAGACATAATTAGCACCTAAACATTATAAACCAATGTCAGAGGTTTTGGAATGTAACTTTTTGGCTACCATGGCATACATTTTGATCCAGTCATCCACATGAATCAAGTTTTCCATAAAATCATTGAATCCAAACTCTGTATGCTGTATTGTTACGAAGCCATTGCTGTTTCAAATACAATAGCAGGAGTCAAACTTCTGGGTGTGAAATGGGCCTTTAAAGTCAACCTCTTACTTTGTAAAGAGAGCAATTATTTTCTGCTTTCAACTTTCATTAAACAGCCTTTAAATTTTTTCAAATACCATTAAATAATCCTGACCACTCTTTTAAAAAAGAATAAATATCTCATTATATGTATTTCCAATAAGTTAGTGCCCTTAGTTATAAGTAGACGATTACAACTGTAGATTATAAATATCAAGAAAGAAGACAGATTGCTGTCAAATCCTTTCTCTGATCTGTTTGTTTGCTCATTAACTTGAAAAGTCCGATCTTTGATCTTTGGTTTCAAAGACATCAAGATGATTTCCAAATGTTTGATATGCTGTCTACTTTTACATTAACTTCCATACAAAATTCATCTCTCAAATCCTAATGGTTGAAAAATCATGTTAAACTAGAGATGGTA